TTTTTCGTACCTGATGGAGAAATTAAGTACAGTTCTAAAGCTCCTCTTCTGTTATAATCAACGTCGACTGTTACCTGAACGTGTTCCAGGTAATGCACTTCATTTTCTGTATTTTTTCCGCAGTCAGTTTCGAAATATATTTCCGCATCTCTTCCCGAAGAAAGTGGCTGGGGAAATCTAGAAAATAAAATTATAGTATAAGGTATATTTATTGACGTCACAGGTAGCAAAGAATCGATTAAGAATGTCACCGACACAATTCGCTAATAATAAAAGTTTCTTTGCTAAAGCTAACCATGTGACTCCACTTTAGTCAACATCTGTCTATCACAGATGGCGGATCTACACCTCCGCTTTTGTACTAAGCTTTTATTTATTTTTTAATATATATAGCCTATATATATACGAGTATATATTTTTTAAATGTATTTTTCCTTAGATTTAATAGGAAAATTTAAATTAACGAATGAAATCGCTTACTCGGTTATAGATTGAGCCGTCGTAATATATTTCGGTGGAACGGATTTCCACTTCAGAGCGGTTTTAACCATAGATTCTGCATCCATCAAACCAAAGCCAAATCTACTGTTGTACATTAAACCTATGGCGTTTCTCTTCCATCCGTTATTGTCTTTCAGTGGTTCCACGTCAGACGTCCACACCACTATGTGTTGTACGTCTCTCCACGTTAAATTCCCACTAAAAATAAAGAGTTACGTTAATCCCAAATCGACTTAATCTCCTGTTTTCTTTATTTTGTCAAATGGATTAAAGATTTACTTCGCTTCCAACACTAATGCGATCATTCCTGCTGCCAAAGGGGCTGCAGCGGATGTTCCTGTATGATCGTCAGTGCATTGGTTGTGCAAATCTGTAGAAGACTGAAAGAATTGTTTTTGAGTAATTTATTAAACATAATTTTTACCAATTAATTTTAACGTACGATTTTCTGGTCCGTGTATGCACCACTAGAAAAGGTGGAAGCCATGGTCGACGCACATTTCTCTCCGTACCAAGGAAATCGTCCGTGTTGACTAGCGCTACCGATTGATAGAGTGTAAATGGAACTGGTGTAACCGTCGCAATTACAGTTGTCTCCTTTGGATCCACCGTTTCCGGATGCCCAAACATAAATGACTCCTTTTCCGTTACGACCCTAAAAAACACGAGATTTTGTTACATACGTTTTCCTGCCTAGCATCGGAGCAAGAAGGCAAAGTATTATTGGCAGGCTTACTTCGAATATACCTTTCTCCAGAGCTTCTATGGCTAATCTCTTGGGTCCGTCTACGGTCATTCCGTCGTCTGAAGGACCCCAAGAGGCACTGAATATATCGATGTGATCGATTCTAAAGGCTATAGAGACAGATTCCACCGCATCGCTTACGTCCCCGTCTAACATTCTAATCCCTTTAAAAGTTAAAAAATATTAAATAATCGTATTTTATGAGAATATTTGCTTACTATTTGTATGTCTAATCTAATTTTATTATAAGCATACCTCCTATTTTTGCATTATAAGCTACCCCCACACCGCATTTATCGTTATTGGCAACCATTGCTATTTCTCCAGCGCATCGTGTTCCGTGACTACAATAATAAAACTTAAAAACATAAATGTTTATGACGAAACACAGCTTATAGTATAATTATAAGTCATAACTGTACTGTATATAGAGAGAAAAGTGATCATTCGTCGGTACTACTGTGTAATTAATAATAATAATAATAAAACAATCATAACAACAGAGACAAATGGAAAGCCAAAATGACTAAGTATAGTAACAGTAAGCAATAAGGAAAGTAAAGTGACCGAATACAATAAGAGTGCTCACTTGTTAGAGTCGTATTCGTCGTAACGAGGAAAAGGGTCGGGATCGTTATCATTGCTATCCCAACTGGCTTCGGGATCCTATAAATATCTTAATTACACATCGTAATAATGTAATTATTAATGGAGTTAATAACAATTTGTAAAAATACTTACGTAATTCGGCAGGATATCCGTATGATTCCATTCCAAACCTGCAACAAAACGGATCATTTACAAGACGTAATCATATATTCGATCATCATTAAGGCTAATTTATAAATACATTTAATTACAACGCATTTAAAACACCTCATTAATTACAAAAATGTATTCACCATCGTCCATGACAGTTAAAACAATTCCTCTTCCAGTTATATTTAACCCATCCCATACAGAAGAAGGGTTAAAGTCGATACGAGGTAAATCCTGACGATCTCGAGTGTCGCACTATAAAAATATATTAATCATAACGATTTATAACCTTATCATATTATCTACATCAAGTTTATTTATGGTATAATAAACCGAGTTATTTATTTCTATTAATCTTTAATCCGCTTCAATGTTATGATATGGATAATGAAACTTTTTTTTTTTGTTGTTGTTATATTTAACAACATAATTAAACATGGCAGAGAATCATCGAGACTTAATTAAATATTTTTTAAAAGAAAATTGGAAAAGTACTACATACCAAATACCATTGATGGGACCAGAAAGGATCCTTAAACTTATTGCTGCAATTATCCTTGTAAAGAAAACCGTGATTTGCCCTCTTCGTACGAATTACACCTCTCTTTATTCTAGGTTTAATCACTTGTTGTTCAGCCCAAATAACCTTTTGAAAAACAAATATTTGATCTAAATCATCTGTCATCCAGTTAATTTACAGGAAAAAAGAAAAATTTATATAAATTTACCCTCCTGTCATCAGATAATCTTTTAGTGAGTACTGCCGAGTTTCTTCTTGATCTTTGAGGATGATCTATTCTTCTCATCAAATAAGTATCCTTAAATCCCTTTAACTAAAAGAAATAATAATAATAATTTAAATATTTTAAAATTTTCATTACAAAAACAACCCAATTTTCAATTGGAATATCGAAATTTCATCAATTTATCAACACTTTGCAACGACAGATGTTCGTTCCTGCACGCCATATTTATCAAAATAAAAAACAAATTATTCGATTTTTTAAAAGTTTATTACGTTATTTTTTAAATTATCATTTCTTAGCTAATTAATTTATCCACAGAATTTCCTCTTCGTGAGATTATTTTTTTTATTTCTAACGGATGATGTGACGTCAAAATCAACCGGATGTCATTAAGGTTCTGAAAGTGATTTCCGAGAAAAGTATTCGTATTTTGTTGGAAAACGATATCGTTAATTAGTATTAAAGCCTTAAAATCTAATATAACAATTAATAATTTAAACGACGAAACTAATTTCCTTGAACGGGACGAGTGATCTGTTTAGAAAGAGAAAATGGAAACTATACAAACACTAAATGTAATTATCTCATTGCAATAGAATCGATGTTTTCCTATCGAAATTGTTAAAGCATACAACAATTTATTTATATATAAAAATAACGTTTCTTATTTTCTCTAAATAAATATTTTAAATATATTTATAAGTAGAGCATCCTTTATAAAACATCAATACGCACTTCTATCCGAAAAGGATAAATGATGCGGTTCATCTCTCTCTCTCTCTCTCTCTCTCTCTTTCTCTCTCTTACTTAAATACAATAATATTTACTTTTAAAAATAATATAGGAAACATTTAATTATCCTATCGAATTATTAAAATTATTAAATATATTTAATTTAATAGCTTAAAAAATCTATAGAATATCTCATATCCTGTAACATATTTTTAAAGAGTTTAAAGCTGTTCAACTCGTGTTATTGTTTAAATATTTTATGTATTTTTGATCTCGTTTAACAGTTTAAAATAACAACAAATGTATTTTGATATTGTGTAAAAATTGAAAATAATAATAATAAAAAAGAAAAAATGTTTACCTTAGAAAAGGATAAGTAAAGTTTTATAACCGCAACTAAAAGTTCCAAAGAACAAACTTTTGATAAGATTACCATTGTAAAACAATTAATGGGGGGATGGTAATTACGTCTGTTCAGAAATTGGTTATAAATTCTCCACATCTGTTTCTATTTGCTCTGCGACGAGATGCAATACACATTCATTCTAATTCGTCTCACGTATAAAAGAAAAAAAAAACATGTCTGATCTAAATTTAGATGAAAAAATATTTTAGTTTAGCATTAAAAAAATAATAATGCTTCGTATCATTTTCTTATTTACAGAATCAATTCGATTTATAACTTATTCTTCTATGTAATTTTAAGTATTGAAACACGATGTATGTTGATAAAAAAATGATGCAAATTCCATTTTGAAATGCAAGAATCTCTCTAAAATATATTAAATTTAAAAAATAAATTAGCATATAAATATCCCATTTAACGCATATGCGGCTTACGAAGGCAAGTTTAAAACAGAAAAACTTTCATCAATTTGGTATAGAATTATATAAATTAAACTTACCTCACCCAAATTACTATATCCAAGTTCACCAGCTAATTCTTCAGCCACGTAATTACCTCCAGTTATTCTAACCACCCAATCGTTAGTAAAGTGTCCATTATTGTCGTGCAACTTTACGTAAGTTATTAAGATAAGTAGAAGAAGCGTTACGAAAATCATGACCCTCTCTCTGATCGATTGGAAGAAAAGGCCTTAACGCTTCGAGTTCTCTCTTATTTATGCCTCGTCTGATAACAAAAGTGTGGGAAGTTGAGACCAAGAGATTTAAAGTACTTCATATCTCGAAACTCTGTTTGTTTTCGACCCCACAGCTGTTCTCTCTCCCACATCGACTTTATGACGTCAGTTGTGACAAGCGCAAATCGTTCTAGATAACAGGTGTTAGTTAATTGGTGGAGCTTACGTAAATTTATAAAGTCTATCCTATACTCGTGGTTGATATAATTATCGTTATACGTCTCTTATCTATGAGAAATTATGCGGTTATCAATTGTATCAACTGTTCTTCAAGATCAATTTTTTTCTTGGAATTTCTGCAAGTTTAGTTTAACTCTTTGCATAGTTAATTACGAGCAAATTAAATAATAAAATTTCAGCACTTGTATACATTAATATGTACAGTATACACGTATATTTTACGTATGTTTAGATGTAATTAATTCACTAAAATATCATATTAATGAATATTTTTGTAATATGTTTTCGCTCCAGAAGATGGCGACTCTGTTACAAAACTATATATATATATAGGCCTATATATATATAAAATCTTTTTTTAATATATCAATAAATACTTAATTTGTTTATATAAATTCTTAATATAAAAAGTTTAATTTTTGCTATTGAATTTACGTAAATATAGATCTATAACATTAATTAGTTTTTATTAATTTTATTCGTAAATATAGAATTTTTATATAAATAAATAATATTAATTCGGTTTTATTTAATTTTTATCTGTCTTAAAATTTTTTAAAGTTAAAATAAAATTAGCAGGCTTAATCCTAAAACTTTTGAATTAAAAAAACAAAAAAAAAATTGCATGTATTGCACACAATTGCATGCAATTTTTTGAACTTTTTTTTTTGAATTTTTGACATGCAATTTTGCATGCAATTGCGTGAAATACATGCAATTTTTTTGAACTTTTTTGAATTTTTGACATGCAATTTTGCATGCAATTTTTTGAACTTTTTTGAATTTTTTACATGCAATTTTTGCATGCAAAAATTGCTGGTCTAAAACCACTTTTTAGTTAAAAAATTTTTACACACGTATTTAACACAAAATATTTAAAAAGTAAAATAGAATTTATACAAATATTTTATTCCTATTTGTTCGTTAGCATGAGCTATCCTTTACACAATCTTTCATCTTTAAAATAAAAAATTCTTGTTAAAAATAATAAAGTATCATACATTAATCTTCCCGTATATACATATTTTATTATTTAAATAGTTTAAAAAATAAATAAATCCATTTAAAAATACATTTCAAATTGAGATAAGAAAAAGTTGTTATCTATTTGAATCTTCTCCTCTTGGTATTCCTGTTAAAAAAAAATGAAAATAATTATAATTACTTTATAAAATTCGTATGAATTGTATTTATGTAATTATTTAAACAAACCGGATTAGGATCGATTGCTGATAACACACGTTCCTCATCCTGGTAGACTTTCTTAGTATTTAACATATGTTTAGGAATGTCTTTAGTACCGTGAAGATGTAGAGTCGCTCGACTAATTAAGCCGTTGTAACTCTTTTTAGTCTGAAATTAAGGGTAAAACTATTAAAAAGTTATATATATATATATATCATCATCATCATCAACCATTGTCAATCCACTGGATAAAGGTAATCCTCTATCTCTTCCATTTTTTCCTGTCCAATGCATTGATTCTGTATATATAATTTAATAAGTGATAATCTCTGAGGACTAAACATACAAGTCGACCCCCCTATAACACTGTTGATTTTTCCGTTTTATATGAATTCCATGTTGTACGAGTCACTTAGATTTTACAAATACGTGTGCTGGGCTGTGAACGGCTCACGTATTTGTAAAATCTAAGTGACTCGTACAACATGGAATTCATATAAAACGGAAAAATCAACAGTGTTATAGGGGGGTCGACTTGTATGTTTAGTCCTCAGAGATTATCACTTATTAAATTATATATACAGAATCAATGCATTGGACAGGAAAAAATGGAAGAGATAGAGGATTACCTTTATCCAGTGGATTGACAATGGTTGATGATGATGATGATATATATATATATATAACTTTTTAATAGTTTTACCCTTAATTTCAGACTAAAAAGAGTTACAACGGCTTAATTAGTCGAGCGACTCTACATCTTCACGGTACTAAAGACATTCCTAAACATATGTTAAATACTAAGAAAGTCTACCAGGATGAGGAACGTGTGTTATCAGCAATCGATCCTAATCCGGTTTGTTTAAATAATTACATAAATACAATTCATACGAATTTTATAAAGTAATTATAATTATTTTCATTTTTTTTTAACAGGAATACCAAGAGGAGAAGATTCAAATAGATAACAACTTTTTCTTATCTCAATTTGAAATGTATTTTTAAATGGATTTATTTATTTTTTAAACTATTTAAATAATAAAATATGTATATACGGGAAGATTAATGTATGATACTTTATTATTTTTAACAAGAATTTTTTATTTTAAAGATGAAAGATTGTGTAAAGGATAGCTCATGCTAACGAACAAATAGGAATAAAATATTTGTATAAATTCTATTTTACTTTTTAAATATTTTGTGTTAAATACGTGTGTAAAAATTTTTTAACTAAAAAGTGGTTTTAGACCAGCAATTTTTGCATGCAAAAATTGCATGTAAAAAATTCAAAAAAGTTCAAAAAATTGCATGCAAAATTGCATGTCAAAAATTCAAAAAAGTTCAAAAAATTGCATGCAAAATTGCATGTCAAAAATTCAAAAAAGTTCAAAAAAATTGCATGTATTTCACGCAATTGCATGCAAAATTGCATGTCAAAAATTCAAAAAAAAAAGTTCAAAAAATTGCATGCAATTGTGTGCAATACATGCAATTTTTTTTTTGTTTTTTTAATTCAAAAGTTTTAGGATTAAGCCTGCTAATTTTATTTTAACTTTAAAAAATTTTAAGACAGATAAAAATTAAATAAAACCGAATTAATATTATTTATTTATATAAAAATTCTATATTTACGAATAAAATTAATAAAAACTAATTAATGTTATAGATCTATATTTACGTAAATTCAATAGCAAAAATTAAACTTTTTATATTAAGAATTTATATAAACAAATTAAGTATTTATTGATATATTAAAAAAAGATTTTATATATATATAGGCCTATATATATATATAGTTTTGTAACAGAGTCGCCATCTTCTGGAGCGAAAACATATTACAAAAATATTCATTAATATGATATTTTAGTGAATTAATTACATCTAAACATACGTAAAATATACGTGTATACTGTACATATTAATGTATACAAGTGCTGAAATTTTATTATTTAATTTGCTCGTAATTAACTATGCAAAGAGTTAAACTAAACTTGCAGAAATTCCAAGAAAAAAATTGATCTTGAAGAACAGTTGATACAATTGATAACCGCATAATTTCTCATAGATAAGAGACGTATAACGATAATTATATCAACCACGAGTATAGGATAGACTTTATAAATTTACGTAAGCTCCACCAATTAACTAACACCTGTTATCTAGAACGATTTGCGCTTGTCACAACTGACGTCATAAAGTCGATGTGGGAGAGAGAACAGCTGTGGGGTCGAAAACAAACAGAGTTTCGAGATATGAAGTACTTTAAATCTCTTGGTCTCAACTTCCCACACTTTTGTTATCAGACGAGGCATAAATAAGAGAGAACTCGAAGCGTTAAGGCCTTTTCTTCCAATCGATCAGAGAGAGGGTCATGATTTTCGTAACGCTTCTTCTACTTATCTTAATAACTTACGTAAAGTTGCACGACAATAATGGACACTTTACTAACGATTGGGTGGTTAGAATAACTGGAGGTAATTACGTGGCTGAAGAATTAGCTGGTGAACTTGGATATAGTAATTTGGGTGAGGTAAGTTTAATTTATATAATTCTATACCAAATTGATGAAAGTTTTTCTGTTTTAAACTTGCCTTCGTAAGCCGCATATGCGTTAAATGGGATATTTATATGCTAATTTATTTTTTAAATTTAATATATTTTAGAGAGATTCTTGCATTTCAAAATGGAATTTGCATCATTTTTTTATCAACATACATCGTGTTTCAATACTTAAAATTACATAGAAGAATAAGTTATAAATCGAATTGATTCTGTAAATAAGAAAATGATACGAAGCATTATTATTTTTTTAATGCTAAACTAAAATATTTTTTCATCTAAATTTAGATCAGACATGTTTTTTTTTTCTTTTATACGTGAGACGAATTAGAATGAATGTGTATTGCATCTCGTCGCAGAGCAAATAGAAACAGATGTGGAGAATTTATAACCAATTTCTGAACAGACGTAATTACCATCCCCCCATTAATTGTTTTACAATGGTAATCTTATCAAAAGTTTGTTCTTTGGAACTTTTAGTTGCGGTTATAAAACTTTACTTATCCTTTTCTAAGGTAAACATTTTTTCTTTTTNTATACACCAGATTAAAAAAAATTAAATAAAAATAATTTTCATACCATCGTCCATTACAGACAGAACAACTCCTCTTCCTGTATATCCCATATCCCATACTGGAATGACATTCATACTCCTTGTTATTTCATTCTCGCTTCGAGAATTGTGCTAAAGAAAATTTATAAAGTTTTAAGTGATAAAATAATTAATAATACGTTAAGTGTGGCACATAATTTACTAGATGGTAGCTTAAGTGTGGCACATAATTTACTAGATGGTAGCTTAAGTGTGGCACATAATTTACTAGATGGTAACGGTTACATAATTGCATCAATTATGCAGATATATATATGAGAAGTATCATCTATGGTTGTGTTGGTCATTTATGTGTGATCCGAAGAGTCGTTTTTGTGTCTTCGTGCCTGTTTTTTTTTTTGTCATGTGTCTTTGTCTGCTTGGTATGCATGGAATCTCTGGATGTTTCGCTTTTATTGAAGCACTAGCTCGGCGAGTTGTGCAGCTTTAGCTACTGTTATTCAGAAGACAAAGAGTGAAAGAAGAGACGAGAAACTGGTTAAGGTCATTTGTATTATTTGTAGTATAGGTCCAGCTACGTAGTTCTGCAATTAGTTACAAAACTATGCAGCTACGTTAGATGAAAGTGATTCGACCACACATGGAATTTGTGCATTTAAATTTCCGTTTGACAGTATTATAGACCCGAAATGATGCATCATATAACCAGT